AAATGACACCTTACTGTATTATTTACTAGAGAACTATAAATGACACCTTACTGTTGTATTTACTAGAGAACTATAAATGACACCTTACTGTTGTATTTGCTAGAGAACTATAAATGACACCTTACTGTTGTATTTACTAGAGAACTATAAATGACACCTTATTGTTATATTTACTAGAGAACTGTAAAGGACACCTTACTCTTGGATTTACTAGGGATCTGTATTTGCGTCCTTACTCTTGGATTTACTAGTGATCTGTAAGTTCTCCTATGATGTTGGATTTTTATAGGCCTATAAGTGCAACCTCCTACAATACTTTAAGGATGACTTTACATGTGAAATTACCAAATGACTATTATTACCACCTCACTGTAGGAGTTACTAGAGGATTAAAAGTATTTCTTAATCTTGGGTTTATTAGAGAATTATAAATGCCACCTTCCTGTTGAATTTACTAAATGACTGTTAGTGCCATCTAAATTGTGGATTTAGTAGAGAAGTACTGTAAGTATCACATTAGAGTTGGATTTCCTAGAAGACTGTAAGTACTATCTTACTCTGGGCTGTGCTAGATGATTAAAAATGCTGCCTTCTTGTTAGATTTAATAGAGGAAAGTAAGTACCATTTTATTGTTGGATTTACAAGTAAACAGAAAATGTCGCCTTACTGTCGGTTGTACTAGAAAATTATAAGAGCCACATTCCTATTAGATTTATGATAGTATTATTATTACTACCTTAATGATGGATTTACTATAGGAGTGTAAATGCCTTTTAACTGTTAAATTTACTAGTGGATTATAAGTGCTATCCCCCGTTGAAATTACTAGAGAACTGTTTGTGCCACCTTAATGTGTATCTTACTAAAAGAAATTAAGTGCTCCCTTACAGAAGATATTAACACCTTACCGTAAGTATCACCTAAATGCTGGATTTACTTGAGGACTGTAAGTGCTACCTCTCAGCTGGATTTACAAAGGACTAAATACCGCAATACTATTACATTTATCAGATTACTGTTATTACCACTTTAGTGTTAGTTATACTAAAGGATTACAAGTCCATCTTGTTATAAGATTTGTTAGAAGGCTGTATCATCTTACTGATTAATTATTGAAGGATTATAAGAACTACCTTACTGTTAGATTTACTACAAGACTGACAGTACCATTTTAATTTTCGATCCACTAAAGGATTGCAAGTACCCCTCTACTAATCATGCATGTAACGTATTAACTCTATATTCACAAGCTACTGCCTGTAACACATTAAAATTCAGGACATACCACGACTTTAAGTTTTGATTAGATTCATGTATTGCTACCAATTGGACGAAATAAATGTACCGCTATATCTAAGATTTTGTCCTAATGTTTTCTTTCATGAAAACGGTAATGAATAGTAAGAACTAAAAACTAATGCCAGCTTTTCGGTAGACCATTGATTCTTAATAAGTGCAGACCAATTGTTGTGTAATTCGCGTGCATGTAAAAACTTTAGCCACTGGACCAACTGTTATATAATAACTATTTTCTGAACTACATGTTTTTAATAAACTTTTAAAATGGACGATTAACAATGACTTTTATCTTTTTTTAGCAAGTGTATTACAGTTAAAATATCTTTGGTCTTTTGATCAGTTGTTCGTTGGGTGAGGTAACAATGGCTTTTACATCAAATATTAAATCACACACGACTTTTGAATGATCTGTTTGTTATAGCTTAAAACGTTTTTCTAACATTTAAATGTTCCCCCGAATTAAAAAGCACATTAGCCGTTGAATAGCCATGCTAATGCGAATAATCAATTACATTAAACAATGTCAATAACTCAACTATGTTAACTTTTTCACTGTTTTCTTTATTGATAAAGAACTCTCCCAGTGCCTGTCTCATTTTTAGTTAAAAATTAAAAACAAAACAAAAATACACAAATTTTACTTATCCCAATCTTGAAAATGGTAAATTTTAGAAAGTTTGAGGAGATTGCTTTTTTTTTTCATAGTGGTAGAAAATTCCAAGTTCACATAGCAGTGCTATAGATAAAGGACTTACAGATGTTGGACAATAAATAACTTTACCGAAGGATTTTTGAGTTTAACTTATTTTACAGTGAGTCTGTAAAATAATCAAGACCCTCAAGTTCATTACAACTCAATCAATTTAAACCATCAGTAGGTGTCTTTAAAATCATCAGTAGGTGTCTTACTGAGTCTTTAAAATCATCATGACTCTAAGGAATATTATAATAAAAACAACTCAGAACCATCAGTAGGTGTCTTACTGAGTCTTTAAAACCATCAGTAGGTGTCTTACTGAGTCTTTAAAATCATCAGTAGGTGTCTTACTGAGTCTTTAAAATCATCAGTAGGTGTCTTACTGAGTCTTTAAAATCAAAAGTAGGTGTCTTACTGAGTCTTTAAAATCATCATGACTCTAAGGAATATTATAATAAAAACAACTCAGAACCATCAGTAGGTGTCTTATTGAGTCTTTAGAATCATGATCCTAAATTGTATTACAACACAAACAACTCAGAACCATCAGTAGGTGTCTTATTGAATCTTTTCAATCACTACAATGAAACATAAACGCCGAGCTTTGATTCTGTACGATTCTCGTCGCGAATGCCTCTCTAATATAAAAGGTGATGTCAAATTTCTTGTTATTCAAAGTAATATAATGTTTACTGACAGACGCCTAATAATCGATAATTTAAATCATTTTATATTTTTCGTATTTTCCTTGTTGTTATTGCTTTTCAATGAATTTATTGGTGACACTGCCTAACATTTTGTTCTAAAATGGAGTGATCTGATCATTTTGTTCTAAGATGGAGTGATCTGATGAAGTGCTTCAAGTGTTTCTTTTTTATAGTTCAATCTGGTTAATAGCATTAACGTAGCTTACTGGTAGCCTTCTTATCGTTCAGATTGGGCTATCACAGTGTATTGAACAGATTTGTACAGAAATATTTTCTTCCCTCTAGCTAATGAGCCATACAAACTGTATTTTTGAGCTGATATCCATCAAACCAGTGAAAGGAAAACCTGAAAAAAATAGAGAATATCTTGTCAAAACCCCCATCATGGCACAGGTTACTGACTTAGAGGATGAAGAAGAAAGTGAGTGTGAAAAATTGCTGTAAATCATATATCCTGCGTTTAATCGTCATTCCTTTATCCCAGTAACCATACTTCTTTCGTATTTTCATGTATCTATAAATGTTTCCCTATTTAAGTCATATATCATATATCATTGTTTCCCTACTTAAGTCATATATCATATTTCATTGTTTCCCTACTTAAGTCATATATCATATTTCATTGTTTCCCTACTTAAGTCATATATCATATCTTTATAAATGTTTCCATAATTAAAGCACATATAATATTGAGCTCAAAGCTACATTTCAAACTATCTGCGCTCTGTCAACCACAGGGAATAGAACTCCGAATTCTAGTATTGTAAGTCCGTAGACTTACCGCTGACCCACCGGGGGACATATAATATCTAATGTCACTATAAGTGGTATATATCACAATCAGTGTCCATAATTAAGTCATATATAATACTTAATGTCTCTTTAATTATGCCATTTATAATTATCAATACATCTCACTTAAGTTTATTTTTCTCACAGGTTACTATAAAAGTTTGAAAGTTCGGGATTAACGCATGTACGTCGCTGTAAATTTTACATTTATATTACAAAGATAGAGCGCGATGGAGCACAATGACCATTTATAAAAACCTTGCTGTTTTTAAGGTAATTTGTCACGTTTTAGGGTGTTAGCTTTGTTAAGTCGACGGTAAAAAACAATCAAGTTTCGTTTGAATATTCTGAATTTTCGATCAAATATCATAACTATATATTTTAATTTTTTATTAGTTCTAACGCTAAGTGACAAAGAAAATGATATTAAAAATGTAAAGCTTTTTCCAACCAAAGATATGTTGGTTTACCCATCTTTTGATTAGATCCGGAGGATAAGCTATTGCATCTCAAGGGCCAAATGTTGTTTATGAAAGAATGGACCTACATGGTTTACTTAGCCTCTCCCGAGTAAGTAATATTATATTAAGAACAGTTATATTAGTCATTTTCTTTCTTTAGAATATTTTTAGTGCTATGATATTTTAGTAATATATGTGAAGTAGGTTTTAACACTGTTGTTTTGTTGGTCAATGTAAGCAAGTATATTTTATATTGAACTCTGCATAATCACAAAGTGAGCAAGCCCTTGGTTCTAAATCTATCTGCAAAGCTACATTGGGCTTAAGCTTTATTTTACTATAAAAGTGTGCAAAAGAGAAAGTAACATCTACCACATGTTAAAGACAAAGTAGCGTATGATTGAACAAACATGTCCGGGTTGTTACTCTGATCTGTATAAGTTGTTTTGAGCATTTGTCTGTCAAAACACACATGCACAATAATATTTTTCGAAACAGATCAATGCTTTATTCAGACAATTTCTCTGTACTTGGTGTAGTCATTTCGTCACGTGTCATAAGTTATAGGGCGTCAAACGGACATTGTTAGAACAGTAGGGTACCCCCCCCAATTTACTGTATCCAGAACCCTGGAATGTCATTGGACTAAATGAAACGTTATTCCAGGAAAATCTACTGGTAGACGCCGAAAAACTACTGCCCGAAATTACCATGTTTTGATCAGGGTAACATGTCAAGACAGGAATGGCACGAACACATTCAATCCAGAGTATCCAGAAGAACAGTGAATAGGAGCCTGACCATAAAAGGTTATTTTGCAAGAAGAGCTATCTTCAAACTGATATGAACCAGAATTCACCTCCGCCACCGTGTTACTTGGGCACGACAGCATGCCAACTTACAGTGAGGACACTGGTGACATGTCATATTTTTCAGATAAGTCCCGTTTACAGCTTGTTAAAACTCATGGTAGAATTTGTATTCGTCGTTTGCCTAGAGAACAGATGAGAAAATACTGTCTTTCCCATAAGGAACTCACAGGAGGTGGTGCAGTACATGCTTTGGCAGCTATTCATCACAGTGAAAAAACTGTTATTCATATACTCCAGGGAAATGTCAATGATGTCTATTGCAAGCATTAGATGGAGACAATATTTCTGCTATATGTTAGGGCAAGGTTTAGCAATAACTTTGTGTTCCAGGAGGACAATGCCACTGCTAATATTGCGCGTATTTCACGGGAGTATCTCGACCAGGATGACGTTACAAGATTGCCATGGCCTCAAAGCCTTCAGATTGTAATCACATTGAGAAATGTTGGGTAGAACTGAGCTGGAAAATTGCTAACAACGACCCTAAACCAGTGACAGGTTGCGATGAAATCACGGCGGATTACATCAATAACATTATCAACAGCATGCTACGTCGCGTTGTGGAGGTTATTAGAGTAGGAGGAGGACCAACCAAGTACTGAATGTTTAATATGAAATTATACACGATTACAAACGCTACTTATAATAATTTGATGTTATATTTGTCATTATATATATTTTGGTAAGGTTTTGTTATGATA